CTCTTCGACGTTGTTCGCGTTGCTATGGTAAAAGCAAGAATAACTGTCTTTTTCACTAACAAATCGAGTTTTTCAAGGTACGGCCACTACCGCAGCGCGAACGCCTTTCATCCAGTGGTCGCGGCGACTCACGATCGCCATCGCTTGTCGGCACAGGGAAGCAGTGGAAACGTGCTACGGATTACGGTAGTGCAGCAGATGACTTAGATGAGGTAAGGATCAGAACATTTAGCTGTTACTCTTGAAGTCCATAATTAGATTTCGGATTTGTCCATGGAAGGTGACTGTTTGTTCCCTTGGGCAGCCGTTAGGGTCACTTTGGTTCAGAATAAAGAGAAACATTATAGATTAGGGACTTGTTTGTAGATAACATGAGTATAGCTGATAATTTTTCAGTCTGGACGAGTATCCTCGCATGATTCTGGTGCTATGGAAGCGTTGCGTCGTTTTGGTTTCCGCGTTACCGAAGAAGATGAGCCAGGACGTTCGTCAAGTGGCAAAAATCGAGCTCGAGTCAATGACCGCCATCCGGTAGTAGCTACGAGAGATGCCCTTTCGGCACTAAACCAAGAAAGGTAGGCTTGGTGTGGCTTGCTGTCCAATCCCCGTATTACTGTTATTGAAAAACTCTCTCGTCAGGGTTCCGCTAGCTGAATCGATCCAATGTCTGCCGACAACTGAAGGTGATGATGACGGTGGTGAAAAGTGGGGTGATGGAGTTGATCGGATAGGAGCGGCTATACAAATGGAACGAATGAGGTATGAGCAGCATTGTTTGTCGTAAGAGAGACTAGGGTCGTATAGGCTTGTACAGAATGCCATTAATGATGTGGTATTGGTTGCTCTCAAGCTGCAACAATGAAGTATTACTGTCGCCCTTACAGGATCGAATCTCTAACTGGTCGGGTGAAAGTTGGAGAAACGGTGCTGAGCCCGGTGATCAACGATGACGACTACATGACGATGCGACCGCGTCGAAATTTGGCGACATCGGGCGAGTCTCAACGACGACCGCTTCTGGACCAAGAAGACGATAGCGATGGTGAGTTATGAGGGCGTTGAGATTGAACTATTAAGGCCTCATTGTTGTGGTGGTAATAATACTCCCCCCACCCCGTCAAGGTTAGAGGTTGTTCAGTACGTTATCCTAGGTATGGTTTGATTACTTGGTAAGCCAATTAATACGAGAGATGAGACGAAAGATGAAGGGCAGCATGTAGCTCGCTGGGATTCCCTGGTACTGCTGCTCACGGCGCTAACGCAAGTTACGGGGCATCCTCTGGGAAAGTCTAGGTTCCAGGAACTGGGAAAATGAAAATTGCTACCGAACCGTGGATTCTCTCATCCCCAACTGAAGCTTACTACTACATATTTATAATGGGAAAGAAGATGTTTTACGGTGTTTTCAATACATTGTCATTACAATGTCTTCGTATCTTGCGATAGCCCCTTGCTCCTTGGCCAGAATAGAAATCTCCAGGAGATAAAAAAATACGCAATTGACTTTTGTGGAGACAGGTAACGGATTGGTTCTTGACCTAGGGGTGGACGTCCCACTAAGTCATGTGGTGGCCCGTCACGTTACATTCCCATGCTATTCAGGACTCCATAAGCGAGTTCCTCGCTCAGGTTGACATAATCTCACTTGTCAGGTACAGAATGACGACAGTTTCTGATGCAGTCAAGCCGCCGCCACCACCAAAAGCCACAAAAAATGTGTTCAATTCTCGGATTTATGACGATCCGCCGACTCCGCGGCGGAGGAGGAGGTGATACCGACTCGCTAGCCACATCGGCGGCGATCTGCGATATCGATGCCAGCGATGTCGAGGAGCTGTCTACCGATGCTATATTATAGGACTTTACACATGATTAACGTACCCCTGTCAAGGCCATTTATTGTCCGTCCCTTTCGTACTTGCACCACCCTGTGATTTTTGCGGGCATTTGTTCTCTTTGAAATTTATACATTTATAGTCGTGATTTATTCATACTGTATGTTGTTACATAAGCGTGTGTGTGTGGTGTTTTATGTGCTTTCCTAATGCTCGCCAAGTATTGTTAGCAGCAGTTCTGCTCAGGTCTCGTTAGCGCTCGTGAATCATTGCGGTGTCTCCTGGGGGTTACCGGTTATTCACGCATGCGTTCCTGCACCCATCGGGTTACCGGTTATTCACGCATGCGTTCCCTCGCCCATTTTCACTTTTGCCTGCCGTTTAGGAGAAACGTAATTTCTCCTTTTTGTATAGGTGCTCGATTATATTCTTGTATGTAGTTTATAACGTCTATTTAATAGATAGATTCTCGTGCGTTTTAGGCATAATTACTGAGAGATATTACTGATACGTGACAAGGCATCAATACTGTACGTCATAGCGTTGTACGAGATTACAGGTATGTATTATAGGATGACCTCAGCACAATCCAACCATCACTTGTAATGTTGTTGATACAGTACCTCGTCCAGAGGCTATTTGTCGACTAATAAATGGATTTGCTTATCGATTTTATACAGTCTACTTATCAGTGTCATGGTTACGGTAAGCTGCTTCTGAAACCTGCACATATAGAATAACAGTAATAGTGCTTGAGGAATAGTACCTTGTGTTCAAAATGTGGCAGAGATCCTGTTATTTCCGGGTTTATACTCACCTTGGGGCGGCACGCGTTGCGATTGCGCAGCGTTCACCTTTTTTCATTCGGGTTTACGTTGTCTGAGCTTTTCACTTCCACAATCATTTATGCTTATTTCCTAGTGAAATTTCAAACGTGCTTTTTTGTGTGGTTTTTGCTGTGGTCCAGGGTCCGCTGTACTTTAAGGGCTTACCAAAATTATAGCGACAGTGCGTGTGAACCGCTATTTAGGTGCTGTTTTCTTCTGTGCACATTTTGGTTTAGTTATGTGGACCTGTTCACACTCGCTCTCTCGCTCAGAAAACCAGAAGCGCATCGAGTGCAGAACACACACCAGAAATGACGTGAGAGTTGTAATTGGTGACAACTGATAGAATACAACTGCAACAGGCTAATCATTTCATTGGCAGAAAACATTTACATTTTGTGGAGGCCGTCGTCACTTGTGGTGTGTGGTCTGCACCCGACGCGCTTCTGGTTTCTAAAGCAGTGATCCTATTTGACCACCAAAATTTATGACTGTTACGATGACTGAGTGGTATAGTGCCGAGTGCCAAGTGTCGCCGTACCTGAATCATTGATTTTCAACTTGGAGAGTTTTTGGCATGCAGAAAATTAAGGTTAAATTTTGGTGTGTATCCGGGTACCATCATCCGGTAGTCCACCAAACGTTATATGGAATAAGGAACCGAATACAATCGGTCTGGGTGGGAGTGTTTGTGTTTCTGTGGTGAACACGAGCATTGTCGGCATGACGCGAGATAGAATTTGCAGGTACATGTGAAGCGCTCGGTTCACCGAATGTCACAGTAAGGAGCTTATTTCAGACTTCTTGAAGTGCAGCTTGTAATTCTAGCTTTGAAAATCGTTACTGGACCGTCCAGCGGGGGTTTTCCCCATTTACAACTCAAGAGTGGCGCAGAACTGGTGCAAGGTCCAATGATGTCTACTGCATCAGCTTGTGGCAAGTCAGCACTTCACATTTGAAGTCAATGGGCTTACAGTGTCAGAGCGATACTGTGGGCCAGTTTTTGCATGGAACTTCACCTTTTTGGAGATTCATTGGAGAAGTCGCTTCAGAGGGGGTAGGACGAGCTCAAAGCACTACATTGCGTGCCACAGTAGATGGCTTCTCATTGCTTCTCAGTTCCTGTGTAACTGCCAACGAAGGCAATTTTAGATTTGGCAAGTGTTCACGATTCAGACTGAACACTGAACATTACTTGCATTTCTGGTTTGTTAAATTATATTCCTTCTAATCGACTTGAAATCGCTGTCGGTATAATTTCGGCGCACCCTGTACTCATCCCACTATAGCCCTGACCTTTTGAA